ATTTCATTCTTTATTAAAAAAATATACATATATCATTAAGTTATTTTGGTTAAAATCCATTTATAACACTTATTTTCTCTTTTTTTTTTAATTATTTGAATCGCTTATTCAATTGTACAGTTTAACTTTTACAAAATAAATCTAAAACGAATTTTGGTATAACTTAAAATAGCTAATAGTTATTAACCGTTATTATAATTTAAAGAATCAATTTGGCTTTTTAATTATATGATAAATACATATCCATAAAGATAACAAATGCAGCATTGCAACGTTGAAATTAAATAAAAGTAACACACAGAAAACATTGTGCAACTGTGTTTTGTTTATATATTACTACTAAATACAAAAGTGTTCCTTCATAATTAATGTTCTAAAGTCTAAAGTAAATACAAAAGTGATGTTACGAAAATAAAATATTGTACTTCAGTATCTTAGTTTCAATATAATGGATTTAACAGAAATGAAAGAATAATATGGATGAAATCATCATGTATCAATTGCATACATGTTTATGACAATTTTTCGTAAAGAGAGAAGATAACGTTATACTCTCAGAAATGAGAACGATTCACATTGTTCAACGCAAAACATTTATTTTGATTCATTTGATTCGGTTTAAGAACTGTAATTAAAATTCGTAAGAATCAAAATGTCTCACTCTGCATAGTATAGTATACATATCCGGCATGTGTAAAATTTAAAGAAAGTCATTAATTTTGTATAAAACTTCTTTTATATAACGTGTTTTGGCAATTTCATTTTCGTGTGTGTCCTTATTCTAAATTCTTTTCAAGTTATCCTAATTTTATGTCAAACCTTCATAATTCTCTATTTTTTTTATCAAGATTTTCAACATTTTTCTATATTTATAATAATTTACAGGAACGAACAACTGTTATCAGTAAACAATTTTGGTACTATATAACAATAAAAAGCTAACTGAAAGCTAATCATTGTTTTATTTTAAAATTCAACTTTTTTAAACATATAGTAGCAATGCAAAATTGCACAAAACCAAGTACTTATGTTATATATTCGAAATATTTTCGACCATTTATTAATTATAAATTAAGAAAAATCTATCTTTAATGTTGTTTGTTAAACTGTATTACAGAAAAAAGGACTAGCAAAAATAACAGTATAAATTATATTTCATTGTTGCAATGAATACAAAAAGATATGGCAGTGGAAGACCTTCATTTTACGTCACTATAATTATAATTGATTTATAAAAATGATTAAACACTTACATTTTGTATTACGAATATAGAAATAGTAGTAATAGAGACTTTAAAACATAGTCCGTAATAAAATTAGACCGTTTATAATACGGAAAGAATACTTATCATTTTGTGCAATTTTAGCCTTCTAAGACATCAGATTTTTATAACTTGAATAAGTTACAAAGAGTTATTATATACTTTCTATACCTTTTTTCAAACAAAAATGTTCTAAAAAATCGATGGAATAAAAATAAATACAAATTAATTTGTAAAAGAAAGCTTTATACCAAAATTATTTACTGTATAACTTTCATGTCCTTGAAGCATAAACAAAACATTTGAAAAAATTTATAATACTAGATTGTGATGTGATTAAGATTTCCTTTTTCTTTAATATATATCGTGATCAACAGTTTTGCTTTATAAGTGTTCACTAATATATCATAGCTTTGAACTGTTCACATAAAAAATAAGAAAAATGTAGAAAAAAAAGGTTAGTCTCTTTAGAAATTTTATACTTACGTTCGCTATATTTTTTGTTTCAAACGTAATTAATCTATAATATACAGTATTTTTCTTAAATAGATATTAGTTTGTTAGAAATATTTTGTTACTATTGTTTTAGTGAATACGTTCATGCAAGCGATATAGTAGTAGATCTTACAATGCTCGTAAATATTAATAGAACGACTGCACAACGGAATGACATATTTTTCTACGAGATTAATCGAAGCAGTCAGGTACTTTTCCGTTTTAATTAATTTCTCTTCTAAAAATAGCTGAAAATAATACCCATTAATACGTTTAAGTTGCAGCACCATGTGAAAGAAGAGTTCAACACGATTGTATAATATGTGGCGCAAATTAAATACTTTCCCCAATACTTAATACAAGGATTCTGTAAACTTTAACGTCGTTACAAGTTTCAAATCTCTTGCAATCTACAAAATTTATATTAACTATTGATTAGAGGCAATCTCGTAATATTAAACAAGCCTTATTTAGCTTAATTTAATGGAAGGCAAAACATTTGCTTCAAGAGTCCTTTCTTCGGACTTTCATCTTCTTCATCGTCATAATTGTGTTCGTCATAGTTACTAATGATCTCATTGTTATTGCTAGAGCCGTATGTAATGTCTGTGATACTTAGAGAACTGGAGCATATCGGACTTTCGTATCGGAATGGAAAAGGTGGCGACAACCGATATTCATTATAATTATTGTCGTTCTCATTCTCTTCGGAGTATGTCATTAAAAAAACGTTGTTATGATAACCTCGATTTCTTGAGCTGATGTTCAATAGGGGATCAATTCGAAGTTTCGCAAGCTTGTCTTGCAATTCATACATATAGCACGGGTGTAATTGTTGCTGATTTTGATTGTGACGTGACACAATAACAAGCGGTTCTTGTCACACGCAGTCTTCCAAAGACATAAGTAATGGGTTCACATACTCAAAGCCCTCAAATTCGCTTTGATCGATCTTGTCGATCACCCTCCTGTAAGATATTTATTGTTTATGTAGATCACAAATTTATTATGTTTATTTATTACTTTTATTAAATATATATCATGTGTCCTTTTTTTAAATAAAACTTACGGATCATCCGGTGTTAAATGAACTGGTTCATCTGTAAATTCTGGTGGGAAGTTTGCTAAGTCACGATCGGAATCTAAGCGTGGTTTATAAGGTGGTGTTACTTGTTTCTGCTCCAACTGAAAATTTAACAATAATATATAGCGTGTGAAGTATCTTATCTGTATAATTAATATCATCTCATTTAGTTGGCAGAAAAAATATAACGAGGAGTTCGAGTTTCGTACGCGTGACATAAAAAGAGATACTGTTATTGGATTGAACCACAGAATAACCCATTGACCACAGGATTATAATCAGAGTTTAAATTATTGTCAATTAGAGTAATCCTATTTTTATCTATTGTCACTAAGATGATCAACATCAATCCAAAACGGATTAGTCTAGATTCTTAAATTAGTGACGTTAAACATTCAAAGACACTATTTTAATTTTCCACAATTTTTATGGCCTCGCTATATCTGTTTTACCAAGTATACTTTAGATTTAAAATATATAATATACTTTTTATGTAATCAAAATTACCATTTCCCAATCTATCGCTTTGAAGAAGGGATGGGCAACGATATCGAGGAAAGCAGTTGGCCTCTTGCCACAACCTAATCTTTCAGTAGGATCTTTGCAAAGGAAACCTTTAAGCACAGAGGCTGCTTTAACCGATAGTGACCTTGGTATACGAATTGTCTTCTGTAAAATAACTTGAAACAGATAATCTTCGGTGTTTTGGTCTGGATTTTCTGACGCGCCCGCAATATCGAACGGGCTGCGGCCTGCAAGCATTTCATACAAAAGTACTCCAAGTGCCCACCAATCTACAGAGAAACTATAATCTTCACCACGCAATATTTCAGGTGCAATGTAATTCGGAGTGCCACAAAATGTGGCAGTTGTGTCACCCTCTCGAACACCTTCTTTGCACATTCCATAATCCGTCAATTTTACGTGTCCTTCGTGATCAAGTAATACGTTGTCCAACTTTAAATCTCTGTATATGATACCTACACAGAAAAATCAAAAGATAATTTATGTATCGACCAGGAGATCGATACATCAATGTAAGAATATTTGAATTCCATGATAAACAAATTTTAGTACATAGAATATCAGAAAGGTTTTGTTACATAGTAATATAAAAAAAACGTAACATTAAGAATTTTTTTAAACATGAAATAACTGAACGATCCACTCTAAGTAATGAAAGAATAGTCAACAACCTGGTGCATTGAGAATTGGCTAATGCAAATTATTGAAGTATTGAAAGAAAGATAACCATGTTCCATACAATTCTGCTCCTGTTCCTTGCAATTTTTATATACGCCATAATATTTATACATTACTCTTATAAATTAAAAATCAATTTAAAAAACGTTCTTTTACGAACAACCCCAAAAAGGTGAACAAATATTTAAAGACTAATTTGAACATAGCATCAAACACATAAAATGTGACAAAAAAGATTATAGCAAACAGACATACGACAAAATTTTTCTATCTTTTTCCATACAGTATGTTAATA